GTTAAACTTATTCAGCTTTCTGCAATTTTGTGAACAATTTTTTTGGGTTCCACTTTCTTGTGCTTTCTCCTTTGACCCTTTAAGCCCTAAAAGTGCTGATCCTATATATTCTGATGAATCTAATTAGCCCCAGATGCTTTCAATAGCATCTCAGAGGCTGCCCAGAAGTGTCTTCACTCAAGGGGAGGAGCTCGGGCACTCACTGAAGGCCTTGTAAGTTAAATAAATGATCTTCAGTGAAACACAACTTGGAAGTCTGAGGGGCTTCTGAAATGACTTACAAAAGCAAGCAAACATTGGTTGGCATACACACTCCATCTTTCCATACCTCGGAAGTCACATAGCCTAAGACTGATCCTCTTTAGATGGAGCTGTGCAAACACAGTTCTCTGAGGCAAATAGCACTTTAGAGGTAAGAAGCAAGAGTTCAGAATCTGGGGTTTGGTTGCACTGTTTTATTTTGGGTTAGGTTTAAATTTTTCATAATACAGTTTTTAAAAAGATAATTTTAGAGGGTTTCTGAACATGAATGTAATACATGTGATTCCACATTTTGATACCACTTCTCTTTATAATGTTAAGAAAAGCCTGTCAATTAGTCTGTTTGTGCAGAAGTACTCAAAACAGAAACGAGGGGCTTGGGAAATAGCTTAGTTGGTAAAATATTTGCCATGCAAGTGCTAGGATCAGGATTTAGTACCCCAAATCCACATAAAAAAAGCAGGCATTCTGGTAGACATCTGTAATTCCAGCACTGGGAACTCTGAATAACATTATCTTAATGTAAATAAAAAACATTGAAATGTATGGAGTTCTGAGGTGTGATACTCAAGTTTTACCTCTGGCCTACATGTGCAAGCACACACATGTACACACAGAAACGCACATGGAGGAAATGACATCTTAGCACACTATTCATAATAGTCACAATTTAGAGAGGCATTAAGTGCTCCCCAGAGTAAAATACCACACATGAGTATAATAGAATGTTACTCAATCTTCAAAGGTGAGGAGGTTCGAACTCAGCTCAAGTCTTCCAATCCACGTCATGAAAGGAGAGAACTGACTCCTTCCTGCAAGTTGTCTTCAAACCTTCACATGCATGCCCACACACGTACATACACACAAGAGAAACACTAAATCTAGAAACATGCGAGGACACGTGCTGTAGCATGGACAAACCTTGAAGACGGCATGATAAGTTAGACAAGGCAGCTCCAAACACAGACATCGCACTACTCTGCTCATGAGAAATATATCCAGGAATCAAGGTCACAGAAGCAAGCTGGGCGTGTGGCCCGAGCCTTGTAAGCCTAGCCCTGGGACAGCAGGGGGCAGCAGCGAGGACAATGACGATGAATTGAAAGTCCAGCCTGGGCTACATATTGAGACTATGCCTCAAACCAATGCAAAATATTCACAGAAAAGCAAATTAGAACCCACAGCAAGGTAGTCATAAGGAAAGTTGTTTTCTGGGCACAGAATTTCCACTGGAAAGTTTAAAAAGTACTGGAAATGGGTGGGTAATGGTAGCGCTTAATTAAGCAGATTTGTGAATGTGCTTAGGGCCCTTCACCCAGAAAATGGTATATTTCATGCTGTATATATATTACCAGAATTAAAAATGAGATTTTTAAAGAGAAAATTTAAGAACTAACCCTAGACTTAAGGAGGTAGAGGACATTCAGGGGCTCTCTTCTTAAGTGGTCTAGTGTTGCCTTCAAGAGCTGTTTCAGTCTGGGGGAAGGAATCTCTTGCTGAGGTTTTCCAGGACTGCATGGTGTGGTTGTATGGGGCTGTATCAGATTCTTAACACTTTCTGGGAGGCCTTTACACCTGGTGGTGAGGATTCTGTTGAAGCCTTGGACTAACTGTGGGACATGAACAAGAAAAAGGCGACAGACCATTCCAGAAGCTCCTGTGCTGAGTAGGGAAGCACTCTGGGTCTCCAACTCTTGCATTGGATTTGAGGGGCTACACAAAATGCTCTTCCATTTTAAAACCACAGGGGCATACGTCCTTTACTTTCTCAAGGGGATAAAAAGACAAATTTGCTCTTCAGGATCCCTGTGTTTAGACAGTGAGTATAGTTAGTTCATTTTAATGCTTTATGCTTAGGTCTACTGCATACTGAATTAAGGGTTTTGCTATAGTGAGAGGTAAGGATCTAGGTGTAATGTATTTCTGTGTATTTAATTCATTCATGGGATTGCATTGGTACCACTGCCAAAACAGACTCATTTGGCTGGAAATAAAGAAGTCAGTAGTTTACAGTCATTGGTGATCAGAAAGGCATAGGTTGAATATGATGATGTCAGCACAGGGAGTCTCCATGGTGATGGAATAATTCTGTATCTTGATAGTGATGATGGTTGTACAAACCTAGTGAGTAATGACAGCAAGCTAATTGCATGCATTGAACCACTATCAGCTTCCTGGTTTTGGCATTGTACAATCATTGTAAAAGATGAAGTTATTCAGGGAAGCTGAAGGAAGTACATGGGACCTCTCAGAACCATCTGTGGCGTCCACACCTGGAGCAAGTCTAATGTATCGGGCAAAAGCCTGGAGATTTAAATGAAAGAAAAGATGTCTAGCCATTTGTGCTAAGAGAATGCATGTGTATCTATCTGTCTTTATTGCAAGGAGGAAGCAGCCTTGTATACAGACTTACAGCACAGTGGAAAAACCCCGGGTGTAAGAATCCGTGATTTCCTAGTGCTAGATGTTGTCAGTGGGGCAAGGCCGGGGCTGTAAGCCAGGACTAGAGAATAGGATGCACCTGTGGTTACCAGCTGACATGCACAGAGATCCGTGGGGGCTGGGACCCAACAACCACCTTTGCAAACGTCTGGGGAATAGCTTGATATGGACGTGCAGGTCTATTTCTGGGCTATGTATGCTGTTTCAGTGATCCATCTGCATCGGTACCACGTTGTCATGGTTACTGAGGCTTCAAGAAAGCCTCCAGCAAGCAAATCTTCCAATCTTGTTTTCTTCGAGATTTATTCTGCACCTCTAACTTCGTTTGCCTTTTCAGTGAAACTTGAGGAGCAGCTCACCCCTTCCTCCATGTGGAGTTATGGCTGGGATCTCACTGACTTGACCAATTTGGAGGGTATGAATTACCAGGACACTTTAGCTCTTCTAATACATGGATGTGCTTCAGTTTTCTGTATACAGGTTTTCCATTATTTTTTTGCTAAATTTATTGCTAAGGATTTTGTTTCTTAATGCTATTGGAAAGAAATCGTTTCAAACTTCATTTTTAAAAAGTGTGAGGAAGGGTCTTACTGGGTAGTCTTGGGCTGGCCTGAATTCTCCAGGTAGACCAGGTGGGCCTCAGACTCACGGAGCTCCATCTGCCTCTGCCTCCTGAGTGCTGGGATCAAAGCTATGTGCATCACACCTGACCTTGGCCCTCTGCTTTAGTCAGAGTTCTCTAGAGGAATCTAACCAAAGATCTCTCTCTCTCTCTCTCTCTCTCTCTCTCTCTCTCTCTCTCTCTCTCCATATATATATATTAGTTTACATATTATTATATATGTATTCTATATATTATATAGAATATATAATACAATGTGTTATAATATAATTATATAAAATATATGAATTTATTAGGTGAGCTTTAAAATAGTAAAATGGCCAATTCACACCTCAGATGCTGGGTGTCTCAATAGCCAGGATAGTCCCACTGGAGGGACTACTGGCAGCCACTCTGTACACAAGATGGGGTGCCTTAGCAGTCATAATCTGGCACCAGAGTCCTGGAGGGCTCCTGGGGAGCTGCTGGTCCCTGGTCCCTGTTCCAAGGTGGAAGTTTGGAAACACTGTCTACAGTCCAGTGAAGGAAACAGCAGCAGCAGTAGCAATGAGGCAAATCAACTCTGTGACAAGAGAGAAGGACAAGCCAGCGAAAGGCAGGAGTCAACTTTCTCCTGAAATAGCCTATGTATCTGGGCTCCTACAGGTGCCGTCCATCATCCAGGCCAGGTGGGTGAGGCAGACTGACTGTAATCATGAGGCAGTGACAAGGGATCCCTGGACCAGAGTTACTAGCTAGCTTAGCCAAGCCGGTGGGCTCTGGATTCAAAGGAAACACTGTCTCAATATATAAGGTGGAGAGCGGCTGAGGGAAGGCACCCGGTGTCAGCACTGGCCTCCATGTGCATCTGGAATGCCAGTGAGTATATACATATACACATGCACTCACAACACAAGTGTGCAAAGAAACCCTGCATTTGAGTTTCTGGTTTGAGTTTCATAACAAGTTGCTAAAGGAATCTTGGCTTGGGAATAGGAGAGACTGTCCAGCAGTTTGTGAGATGGCGTTAACATACACCTGCCATTTTGCACTGCATGTTTACACAAAGTGGCATCCTCAGCACTGAATAGTTCTACATTTTTTTAAAATGTGGTTTTTGTTTTCTTGAGACAGGGTTTCGTGTAGCCCAGGTTGACCTCAAACTCACTCTGTAGCCAAGGCTGGCCTTTAATTCATGGTCACCTGACTCTAACCCCATGTTCTGGGATTATAGACATTTGTCACCACATTCAAAATATTGATCAACTCCAAAAATTGTTGAAGATAATGTCCTACAATAGCATATATTCAGGAAAAAACTAATACTTATGTAGAAATAAATAAGTACATCTATATTTTTAGAAGATATGTTTTATTTTAATAAATGCTAAAATTATATGTAAAATTGTTTCAATATTTTTATGATTTACTGTCAGTGAATATCCATTTATATACCTAGAAACTCCAGTGTGTGTGAAAATTTCTCAGGTAAAAGGGGGTCACAAGACGAAGTTTAAGAAGCCTTGAACTTGCCAGGCAGTTGTGACACATGCCTTTAATCCCAGCACTTGGGAGGCAGAGACAGGAGGATCTCTCTGAGTTCAAGCCAACCTGGTCTACAGAGCTAGTTCCAGGACAGCCTCCAAAGCCACACAGAGAAAGCCTGTCTCGAAAAACAAAAAAAAGAAGCCTTGAACTTAATATACACATCCTCCCCACCTCATTCCATGAACTTGAGGTTTGGTGTTAACTGAGGTAATATGATCTGGCATGATGTTCTGGGGTGTGGTCAAAGTTAGTGCTTGGCATGTGTCATGCTGTAACTCAGCATGCATACTCTGTGTGGGGTGGTGTGCTTTGACGATTACATTATGGGGTCCTGTGACGCTATGCTGTGGTATGGTATGGCAGAGTCCGGTGGGCAGTGTTGTGGTGTAATGCGGTGCTATGCTGTGCTAATGTGCTGTGGTGTTATGAATGCTGCTGTTTTGTAGTGGTGCTGTGGTTTGGTGTGTAGTGGTGCTATGGTGTGGCATATTGTGACTCAAGTGGAATCGTGGCCAGTCCTCTGCAGGGCATACTGCTCCACTGGGGCAGTGACCAAATGGTATTGTGGTAACTTGGTCTGTCAAGATGAAGTGACAATTTAGTGATGTCCTTAGGCATGTTGGTTTCATATTGTATAGGAAAGTGAATCTTTGTACCATCCTGCAGGTGCTCTGTTGAATAATTAGACATGCGTTTTATGTCACAAAAGAAAAAAAGCCCAAATCTCAGGCAGACACAGCACCCCTCACCCAGCCCAGCCCACCACCCCATTGACTATAGGACAGTGACAGGCATCCACTTAACATGTCATTTAAAAGTATATTTTAAGGTTCCTTATGTAAAATGAAAACAACTCATACTAGTTCTGATAGAAGGGTGTGGTTTTAGAGTGTGTCCGTGGTGTGAGGGGCTGTGGCTGCTACAAGGTGAATCAGCCTCACACACAGCACCAATAATCACCAGGACTTTCTGGGCAGAGCCAAACATTGGTAAGGGCCATCAGTTCTGAACTTCACTACTTGGTTTTATTCACATGCCTTTATAGCATGAAGCTGCATTTTATACACTGAACCCATGAATCCAGGTATGACCCGTATCTTTATCTTATTACCCTCTAATAGAGAATTTCTTCTTGATAAAATGGTCCTCTACCCTTATTTGTGTCCTAGGACAAACAGATTCACTAAAAAGCCCCTTTTGTTTTGTTTTGATTGGTGTTGGCTAAACAGCTCTAAGTGTTTTGGAGGCAAAGCGTCGATTCGCTGTCTTTGAATGAGCTGGTGTTGGGAAAAAGACACCGGTGTCAACCCGGAGAAATAGTTCAGAATGTCGTTGTAATGTCCTGGAAGGCGAGCTGCGGAGTAGAACTTAGAGCAATGGGAAAAGAAACAGGGAGAGGGAAGCTAAGTGGATAAAGAATGTCAGCTTTACTGAATTGTTAGTTCTGTTTGTCTACCCTGTGCCCCCACAGCTATCAGAGTTCAGAGGAAGCATGCTCCACTCACAGGTAGAAACGGCTCTCTTAGCATCCCTCACTCTTGAACCTCACCTCCTTCAAGGTCATTCTGCACCTGCTGATGACCCCCAGTGCAGAGGGCTGGTGAAGTCTACTTTCTGCCTCTGCTTCTTATTTTTGACCACATTCCTAACCACCACTGCCACTTGGCTGAAATCATGTCTGCTATAGCTCAGACCGGCAATGTTCCCTAAAAGGATCATGTGCTGGGAGCTTGTCCTCAAGCTGGTAGTCTTCATTGGGAGGGACAATGGCAAATGGTTATTGGGAAATTTGGGGTTGTCAAGATGAAATGTCCGGTTAGCGATTTGTTTTTTGAGGTTCTGGAAATCTTGGGTGGTAGGACCTAGCTGAAGGAAGTGGATCACTGGGTGTTTCTAGTTCTTGGCTCTCCACTCCATCCTGTCTCCTTCCTGCTCAATCCCCTGGAGCCAAGCAACCATGGAGTGGACCTTCTGAACAGTGGGCTCAAGTAGGTCTTTCTTCTCTTTACCGTGTTTCTGTCAGGTATCTGATCACAGAAGAGAAGTGACTTGCACAATGTCTAAGCCAAATTTAAGAAAAAAACATCATAGATATCAAGGATGCTGGGAATAAGAGGTGGTTTGTTGTTTGATTTCTCTGTTGCCTGTAGTCCTAGTAATAGGTGCCTTTCTCTGTAGGTAACTGGCATCACTCTTATAACCGGTTGGACATTGTGAGACCCTGCTCACTAGGAAAGACAGTGGAGAGGAAATTCTACTTGCTCTTGTTTTTGGTTCCTTCTGGCTGTCCGAAAGACCTTTAACCAGATGGCTCTGCACCATAATTTAGAGCTGGTACTTCCTAGCTACTCATGGCTATAATGAAAAAGGAAGTATGTTACCTGCTGCAAGAGCTAGTTGGTGCTCTGTTAGGTACATCAAGATTGCCTGAATTGTGGTCTACGTGTTTGTAGACAGCTTTATCATCATGGCTTCCCTAAATGTATTTGCTATGCTCTGATGCATCATGGTCACCCCCCACCCCCAGGAGACCTGTCTTCCTGCAGGTGACCTCCCTCTCTCCTTCCATTACCCCACCACCCCTCACATCACAGAACATTTCTGTTCTGCTGACTGCTTGATTTCTGTGAGGGTGGCTTGTGCCTTTTCTTTAATGGCATCCAAGTCCATGTTCTGGAGGTTCTGCAGCTGCCCAAGGATAGAATCCTTCTCTTCTTCCTCATCTTGGTCTTCATCTACCATCTTTCGGAGATCTTCCGGCAAATCCACGTCATCCCCAGCCAATTGGATTTGCATCTCATCCATTTCACTCTGTGAAAAAAAAATCAGAAAAAAAAATACAGAGAAATAACTCTGAAATTGACCAACTGGATAAGTAGTTGAACAAACAAAGGACTGTCAGGAATGAGTGATGGGAGCAACACGCTTGGCTATTGTGCTGTGGCCCTGAACATGGAGGCAGCAGCAGAGGCTGCCCCTCCATGGTAGGAAATCCTTCACTTTAAGCATCTTGGATTGACTAGTGCCTTCTATTCCTACGGTTTTCCACTGTGCTCCCAGAGCAAGCAGCACTGGCATAACCTAGGAGACTGTTAGAATTAGAAATTCTGTGATCTTACCCCGGACATACTGAATCAGAAACCAATGGTACCCATAAATGGAAGTCCAGAAGCTCGCTCTCTCTCTCTCTCTCTCTCTCTCTCTCTCTCTCTCTCTCTCTCTCTCTCTCTCTCTCTCTCTCTCTCTCTCTCTCTCTCTCTCGTGTGGGTTTTTGTCTAATTAGATTTGGATCTTGTGCATGCCGTGCCTGGGCTGCCGTCACAGATGATTTTGAGTCCTTGTGTGGCGCATGTTCACTTGGTGCCCATGGAAGCCAGAATAGGACATTGGATCCTCTGGAGTTGAAGCTACAGACTGTTGTAAGTCACTGTGCCATGTGGGTGCTGGGAACTAAACACAGGTGTTCTGAAGAGCAGCTGATGCTCTTAACCGTGGATCCACATGTCTAGCCCCAGACACCCTCTTTTGATGTACACAGAAACTGCAGGTCCATCCCAGCTCTTTCTCAGAGCAGCACTATAGACTCTGCATAGCCTGAAAGCCTCGTGTCATGGCTTGCGAGTGTGACTGACCCCCACTCTAGGGGGGGCATTTGAGTTGGCAGTGACCACCCATGACTCCATTATTTCAATCTTTACATTTTAGTGGCAACTCTTTCCTTCCCTTCTGTTGTACTGGGGCCCCCTCAGGGACACAGAATCATGACCTGGGCCCACCAGTGCCTGGAGAATAGTGTGGCATGTAGCTGATACGTGTTACAGGTGCGGTTCCTTGGTGGTATGCTGTATGACTGGTTCTATTGCCAAGTAACCTGGCTGCAGCAGGATTTTCTAGTGTACTGTCCCTAGGTTCCTGCCCTTTAGGCTGCAGAGTGGTTGGTAATGAGAAAAGGCTAATAAATAAATAAATAAATAAATAAATAAATAAATAATTAAATAAAAGGTCCCCCAGGAATGGTTCCTAGCATCTGTTGTCCCAGATGACAGCTCTTAAACCATTTCCTATCCGGCTGTAACGTATCTGCCAGGTCTTCAGCCTTCTGTGCAGTGTACTGTGGGCCACCTTGCAGGAGGACAGTTGGAGGCTACAGAATTTACAAATGACAGCCACTAAGCAAATATCCGGATGAACAATACCTACAGGGTGGGTGCTAGCATAGGCTTTTTACATCATCATCCTTTCTGATACCCTTTACTTCCCTCCTGTACGGAATAAAATCACTTGTGGTCATGTTACTTTTAATCAGGTCACACTGATTTGACTTGAGACAGATTAGTATCTGCCGGAGTTCCTTGGTAAAGTCAATACCTAAGGAGATGGAAATGCCCCTCACCTGGGTGCCTAGCAGAGATGATCCAAAACCAGTTGTCACAGGATCTGGGAGATGCATGAGGATAATGCATGCACTATTTATTCTCCATCTCTAAATGGGCGAGGAGGGACTCAGTCTTCCCCCAACTCTGGCGATCTTCTCTAGGCAAGCCTTGGGGATGTGAAGACCAGCAACCTTTCCCTAGGGTCCCAATTATCTGGATACAAGTAGAGTGTCAGCAAGTCTGGCTCTCGAATGAGCTTGGGAGGCAAGTGTGTGATGCCTTTGGGGAAGACCTTTCTATAGACTTCCGGCTCAGCCTCTGGAGATGATGTAGGCCAGCCCTGCACTTGGCAGGTGACTTAGTCCCTCCCAGTGCTTAACAGATTAATTAGTTCCTACTCAAAGCATTGTGAGAGCAATTAGTAAATCCCTAGGGGTCCCCAGTCAATCCTGCATTTCCATTTGCTTTTATTTACCCATCTTAATGGTCTGATTTCCTTGTAGATTACCCTCTGGGCATTCCTGCTGGAGTAGTAGGAAAAAGACTTCATTCAATTCTCTCTGAGTTCCTGCAAAACAGAAACTTCTGAACCCCTCAATCAAATGTAAATGACTTAAAAGATAATCCTGGGGGTCCTGGCCCCTCCCCTACGATTAGAAGTAAAATCTCTGCGCATGTCAGCAGGTTGGACTCTGGACAGAAGGCCTCTTGACAGAGCGACCACTGTGGGCCTAGAGGTTCAGGTACTAGAAGGCAGAGGAAACCTATGTGCACCAGCCAGCCAGTGCTGTGAAACAACGAACCTACTCTCCTTACAGGGGACGGGGATCTCTCAGCTCCATCTGCCTGGAGAACCTAGCACAAAGCACAAGCACCTAAGAAAGTGTCTTAATGGCTTCCCTTCCTCATCTCCTTGTCCAGGGAATGCTGGGATCCACCATGGCTGCCAACTCGGAAGAGGGATCTCCATCACCCCACTTCCGCCAAAGTTGCTCTCACAGTGGGTTTCTCTGGCAGCAATAGCATCATTGAGAGCTTCCTAAAAGTGAATCCTTGGGTCCTCCCCAGAGCGGCTGATCCAGACACTCAAGGCAGACTGTAAGTCTGATCTAGCCCCCAGTGTTTCTAGAGCTACTCAAGCCTGGGTGGGGCCCTGTTTTATACTTCTTGAAGGTGGGCTGCAGCTTGCTCGCCTTCTCAGAGTCCAGCAGATTCTGACATGGGGACACAGAGCATACCTGTTATTTTCCTTGGAGAGTGCACAGCACCCATCACCATGACCAGTTCTGTTCTCACAGCTACCCACTCATCCTCACAATCCCACTAGGGGGTCACGGTCATTGACTGGAGAGTTCTGCTACCTGAAGAGACTGCAATATACACACAGGGTGTGCGAGCATCGCCATCATACCCAGCCTTTCAGAACTTCATTTCCTTCTATATAAATTGAAGTTCGTATTGTTTGCCTCTGAGTTGGATGGGATTGTTGGATAACCACTGAGCTGGTCCTAGAGCTAGGGCTAGGTTAGTGGGTGACATTTGTAATATCTGTGACTTCCTCCTGCAAGGTGACTTACAGTACAATACATGGAAGGCTGACAGCCAGACAGCCAGAAGACCTGGGGTCAAGTCCCAAATCTGTCAATCATTCTGTGACCTTGGGCACCTTATTTTCCAAGTCCGAAGTTGAGTGGGAGGACCACTCCAAGTTTACTGAATAAGACATGTCATGAAAGCCCCCTGCCCCAAACTTCCAGCCCTGGATAAGGGTAGCTATGATTAGGAATATCTCAGAGGAAGGTGAGAAGCTGTGTTTAAGCTCCTGCTAAAAGGGCCCTTGGGGAAGAGAAGGCCTGAGACAGACCAAAGCAAAGGGTGAGAGAGCTCAGGCAGGAGCCAAGGACATGCAGGTAAGGAGAGTGAGCAGGATGGATGGAGCAGACACTGAAGCCTAGTTTCCACCTCCCCTAGGGAACTGCCTGCTGCGGGGTCCTTGTTTACTCCTCAGACGGTGACTGTTTTATCCAGACCTCCTACTGCTCAGTGACAAAGCTTAGGTTGGAAGACCATAAATATTCTGACTCTGTTCACACTTCAGGAAAGGTAGCCATCCTCAGTACAGCCCTCTTTACTCAAGTACAGGTACAGACAAGACCCAGAATGACTGCGGGGGCTGGAAGCAGCTCTGGGAGGGGACAGGACCCAGAGTCAAAGGAAGCAGTACAATCAGAGGACTCAGGGGCCAGACTTCATTCTCAGAGGCTGTTTCGTTGATTCCATTCCTAGAAATAACATTCCCCATTTGTTTCCATTTTCTTTCTTTACTTTTTTTTTTTACAGGTCTCATTTATCCCAGGCTTGCCTTGAACTCACTATGTAGCGTAGGGTGGATTCGAACGACTGATTCTACTGCCTCCACTATTCAAACGCTAGAATTAAAGGGGTGTTCCACCATGCCCAATTTATTATTGTTGTTACTGAGGCAGGGTTTGGCTCTGCAAGATGGCTGGTGTGGTTGTCACTATGGAGTCTGGCTGGCCTTGAACGTTTGGCAATCTGCTAGCCCAGCCTCCCAAGTAAGTGTTGGGATTACAGACAGGTGCCAACTGGCTGCCTGTCATTTCTAGATATCACCTTGGGGCATTTTTAATGCAGCCAAGTACAAACTATTTCTTTGCAAGCTGGCCATCTTAGTCTCTTCACCAGACTTACAGGTTTGTTACCAGCCTGGATACCCTGTTATTTAAACAGATCCATATTCTGATAGTGTCCTTCCCTATGACTGACCCCCGACCGTTTACCCAAGAATGAACATAACCCTGGATCTCAGACTTCCTCCTCTCTAACTTTTGCCCCCTTCATCTCTGACCACATTTGAGGTGTCTGTCATCGTAGGATGTTCTGCCTTCATGAAGCTGAGTGCGGTTAAGCCAATACCTGTTTGATGCCAGGGAGATCTGATCTGGTTCCACTTGAGGCTTGTTGGTTTATTTTGGGTGTGTGATATACCAAATAGTTGATGGGTAGATGTTCCCTGATGTGCGACATGATGGCCTTCAGTAGGTACTTCTTGCCACAGGACCCATAAGGCAGATGCTTGCAAAAGCATCATTTCCTGTGGGTGTGGTGGCTTATGCCTATAACTCCAGCACGTGGAGAGCTGAGACAGAGATTGTCAACAGTTCATGACCAAACTAAACTACACAACAAGTACCAGGTCAGCTGCACAGGTCATCATTTTCCTTGTTAGAAATGTCTTTTTGTGGTTGTTAATTCAGCAGGCTACCAGAGTGGCCCAGCAGGACAAGATGGTCCATATAGTCAAGTTGGTTTAGGTCCCTATCACCCATATACAGGCTGTGTAACCTTGAGAAGCTGCTTTGCCTCTCTGAGTTGGTGTTCTGTCTGACACTGATGGCTTCAGTGAGAATGCTG